AAGATCCGTTTGAAGATGTGGATGACATCAAGATGGCCACAACAACCCGAAATGAATGACGGCACTCCTGGAACTTTTTTGACACACTTGGACACCTAACACCTCTCATTGAGGCACCTCCTTCTTTTGGAATAAGTGTCACAAAACTAAGAAAATTCTTCATTTCCCCTGTAGCAGAGCAAGGAAATTTAGTGAAATGCTCGTCCCTAATAACTTCTCAATGTTGAGATTTTCGACTTGACGTGGGCTTCATGATGAACTTTGTCGCCCACCTCGGAAGGAATCCAAAAGCGTGTATTCAGTTTGCTTTTATTTATTGGTTACACATTGTAGGACTTGACTTTTGCGCTACGTACTGTAAGAACTGTTGAGGAAAATGAGTAACAGTTGTGGCGCAATATTAGCTGTGTACAGTACACATCATCGCCGATACGCAACATGCTGTATTGGGTCTATTATTTCAGTTTACGTTGTCTTCAGAGGTTCTAACTAGTTGCATTTGACGCCATATTCATACATGGTTTCTGATCCATGTGTTAGAGAGAGAGAGAGAGAGTGTGTGTGTGTGTGTGTGTGTGTGTGTGTGTGTGTGTGTGTGTGTGTGTGTGTGTGTGTGTATATGTTGGGGGGTGGGGGGTCTCAAAGGAAATGCATGAAAAAAAAAGCCCTCAGAGTTGAAATGTGAAACCATTTAGCCATTGAGACCCCGTGTAAGAAAGATGAAGTTGGCTTGAGGTCCCGGGGTACAAGGCGGCGTTCCCTCCGTGTGTAACACCATCATCTCATCGCGACAGTACGTCCTCCATTGCCACCACACACACACACGCAGACGCACACACTGCCCACACGTGTAGACACTGTAATGGCCGCCACTGTGGAAGCCGAGTGTCTGCTCCGGCACCTGGAGGGTTAAAACTAGCATCGGCTTCTCCCTCAGCAGCACACGCATGCATACGCACGCACATACACACACACACACACACACACCAGCCAACTGGTTTAAACCAGTTCTCGGAAAAGTGCTTTGTGTGTCCTCCTGAATCCTGGGAAGGGTCATATCATGTGTGTTTTAGTGATGTAAGAGTATGTATTAAAAAAACCCCAAGAATAAACCCCTTACTCAGCCGCTACCAGATGATTTGTCCATATGCTGTGTTGCGACTACTATACATTCCATCAAAGCTAACTTCTGTGCACTTCATGCACATCGCCACGATTGGAATTTTATTTCTGCCTTTAAAAAAATAAAATAAAATTGCTGTCACTTATGTCCGGGCAGACTGTGGGCCTTGGTACAATAGGCAGGCAGTGTTCTGTATGCATGAATATGATGTTGGACATTGATGCACTTAATGTGGATGCTAGATTGGAAGTTTCTACTGGATATTCCAAGCGACCGATTCAAGTGTGCATCTCAGACTATCTTGTCTGTGAACGAGAGTATGGGCAAAGGTCGTCTCCCACTGCATACTGTGTTGGCCAGACTCAGAACATGTCAACCTTTGGTACAGTTTTGCTCGACTCTTGTGTTGACTGGAAGAAGGACTTATTTAGGGTTTTGGAACCAGAATGTGTTGTTTCGTGTCCTGTTAAAAGTGGCATATAGCTGTAACTGTGTCCATGCGAAACTAATCAGTGTTGGATTGTGAGGTTGTGTTTTAAGAATGCTGTCCTTTGAAGTAAATGTACTGATTGCTTGTTTATAGTTAAAACCAACAAACCACTAAGCTATACAAACTCTAAAACCAATTAGTCTACATCAGGGATGGGCAACAATATGATTTTTTTTTTTGGGGTTTTTTTTTTTTGTGGGAGGTTTATCAGTGTTTTTTAAATACTTTTGTGGGGGGCGGAGGGGGGCCCAATTTACCAAATGCATTTCAATGGACATCAGTCATATGCGGATTTTCACTTTTCACGGTCCAGCATGTAATTTGTCCATATTTACAATGTCACTCATGTGGTTAGGAAGTGTGTGAGTCCTACAATATCTAGTGCGGATGAAAAATTGTAGCCCCCTCCACTATTTAAGTTGCCCATACCTGGTCTAGATATAAGAAGCAATCATGTTGTATGGTAACAAGCAAAACTGCCCGCTGCTCTTAATTTCTTAACATTGAAAGCATTGTTTCAGGGTAACAGCCGCGATTCGTCATGGAGGCGTAAAAACTGAAAATTGTGTTCTCACCCTTATATGTGATCAAGCATGACAGACGGTTAGTGTTTGGGGAAGTAGTTTCCTTCACTTTTCACATGAAAATGAGAAAATCCCCTTTGTATAATCAAATTAAATAATGTATGGTACTCGCAGTCACCGGTCGCCGTGATTTTCCGCTGGCTGCCTCCGCTTGGCATCATAAAACAAGAACAAGAAAAGCAGTCTTACCACTCGAGTCAATTCCAGATTCTCAATGTGTTGAAATCTTGCACGATACTCTACCTCATGTCCTGAACATTTGGGATTGTAACTTGGAGTGTTTATTTTAGGAAATATTTTGTATGCACACACCAAAAAAAAAAAGTGAAACTGCTACAGAAAGAACAGAGCTACGGTATTAAACCTACCTGTATAACTTATTTCATATTGGTTTTTCATGTAGTGAACTGGTAATAACTCAATATTTCTCTTTTCCTCACTGGCTTCTCGGCTACCTCCTTTTTTTATTTTTACTGATTCCGTAACGAATTTTCACCCATACTGTATATATGGATTAAAGATATGCATTGTCATTATCGAACCGTAGGCGTGTGACCAAATACCTCCTTGAGAGTCAGCTTTGGATTTCACCCTGAGAGACTCGGAGCGGGCGTTGCAGTAAAAATGTCTGAGTATGTTGCTGTGTGTGTGTGTGTGGTGTCTGTGTGAAAGTGTGGGTGTGTGTGTGTGTGTGTGTGTGTGTGTGTGTGTGTGTGTGTGTGTGTGTGTGTGTGTGTGTGTGTGTGTGTGTGTGTGTGACCAAACAAGCAACTGTTTGTCTTCGCCACGTCCACAACTGGTACATTTGTTGTACAATATAGGCGGAATAATATGGTGCGGGATCTCTTTTGGTTTAAAAGATGGGCAGAAGTTTTATGAGTGGACACACACCAAAAAAAAAAAAACAAAAAAAAAACCGGAATAAAATAGTTTCTCTTGCATTTGGATTCATGGGTTGTGATGAATATTTCAGTATGTGCTCCAATTCATTTCCCCCCGTGTGTTTTTTTTTTTTTTAACTCTCCAAGTTACCTTCAATCTGATGGTTTGAGCACTTACTGCTGCTATGTTGTGCATTATCACTGGTTGGGAATTTAACTTGGCATCTTGTGATTATACTAATCCACTTAGTTTTGTCTGAAGGCCATTTTATAAACCATGTGTTCGCTGCCCATGAGTCAAGGTCAGTTTTGTCCGCCAGACAATTGCGGCAGCCATTATATGTGAATGAGATCAAAAGATGCAGAACTGGAAATACTTAAACGGAAGCAGCAAAACTCAAATCTCTTGATCATACATTGTCTCCATATTTCTGAAGAGTCTTCGGTGACAAACTGAAATTGTTCAGAGTTCACCTCGTAACTGGCGTTAATGCTCGTTTAACTTCTTTCAACTGTTGGAATCTTAACCTAACATCCATTATGTAAAAACAAACCCTATTTTCGTCTGTGTTTGCATTCTCCCAGAGAACTTTGTGAGTTACTACATTTAAGTCATTCACTGCTATGGATGTTTACATTCATATACAGTCTATTCGTCAAGTAGCGGTAGGTTTTCTTCTTTCAACTGTTGGAATCTTAACCTAACATCCATTATGTAAAAACAAACCCTATTTTCGTCTGTGTTTGCATTCTCCCAGAGAACTTTGTTTACTATTTTCCAGATTGTTCACTCACTGATGATCATTTAAATCATTCACTGCCATGGATGTTTACATTCAGATTCAGTATATTCGTCAAGTAGCGGTAGGTTTCAAACGGGTTGCATTGGACGAGGACCTCTCCCAGCTTGTCTGTGAAATTCAGGTTTGTAAAGTCTCGTAATGACAAACAGATCTCTGAAGATAGTGACTTTGCAATCCTTTGGATTTGAGATCAGCACAGCTTTTGAGTAGAAGATACAGATTATGCGGTGAGTCCTGATTTATCACGTCAATTGAGGGAGAGAAATGCCAACATTTTGGAAGTCGGACAAACTCCAGCACGTCATACTCGAACAGAGCGTGCCCAAAGCGAAAACCCAACTTTTTTTGTTACAAGCTACAACATAATATTTTGTGGGTCTTAAAAATGTTCGTAAAATGGCTAGTAATATGGGGAACTGTACTTTAAAAACAGTTGGCAGCGAATGAATTATTTGTAGTTCACAATGGCGTAAACCTTTCATGCATCATCCTGAGACTTGTTTCGGACACTCTATGCAGAGCGAAATAAAGAAACCAAAATCTTATCAACAACTCTCTGTATAAATCATCACTACTGCAAACGAACACACTGTCAAATGAGCACCGCTCTGACAGCGTCATTCAAAGCTGAACCTCTGCAAACCCAGAATGTTTTGTAGAATTCTTGTACAGGATCTCATTAGACTGTGCAGGGGTACTTAATGAACAGACCGGTTAGTGTAGTTTTCTGTGTTATGAATGAAACCAAAAAAAAAAAACCAATTGTAAACAGGATGTGTGAAACTAAGCTCTTTTTATGTTCATGAGACTCCTTATTCTGAAGGTGGAAACGATATCCTTCATTCTAAAGCCAATCATAGTTCAACAATGACCCCCTGATGCGTACCGAAAAATGAACAGTGATAACTTTCTCGACGACTGATGAGTTTTCGGTTCAAGGTACGTTTCAGTTATTTTAGGCGGTAAGAGTTTGTGTTGGAAGCATGGCTGGTTTGATCACAAATTGCACTGTTGGTATGACTGAACATATCTTGATCTTTGACCCACTGTGTAGACATGTTTGGACTCTCCCGCTAAATCCACATATGTCACCAAATCCTTTTCGTGATGTGTCCACAGGGGATGTCTGAGGAAGCCGTCCGCCAGACACGCAGCCAGAAGAGGGCACTGGAGAGGGATGCAGCACCGCAGACGAGAGAACCTTCCAGCCCTGGCAATGGAAGCAAAAAGCCCAAGCTGGAACAGTCTCAACCCACAGCCCAGGAGACACTTTCAGTTAGACCTGAACCACAACCGGAACAGGATGGTCAAAGTCTGACTGGGACTGGATCAAATGAGGAGCCGGGGCAGTTGGCGCCACCTTTGGAATCTCAGCCGGTGAAAGTCGAGGCTGCCGGCGAAGCGAGCTTGGACAATCAAACTGAATGCAATGACAGAGCAAAGAGGGAGCTTAAGGTGGAGAAGGATGTGGATAACACGACCCGATTCCAGCCCACCGAACCAAAAGTGTCCAGTGGCATGTTGGCTGCCAGCGAGGTGAAGGCAACCATCAAAGTAGAGATCCAGACTGGAGAGCAGCCAGTGGACATGAGCACTTCCAAAGGGTAAGAAACTGTTCACTCCTTGGAAGCATTTAAAAAAAAATATATATATCTGTCAAATGAGTCCACCCAAATTAGTCTAAATTAGTTCAGAATCATGATAGCGGCTGCAGCCGAGGGTAATGTTCGTCGCCTTGCTGTTGTTAACATCAATTAACTTTTCAGTAGTGAAGCTTGTTTTGTGATCACATTCCCCGTCGGCAATTCTGTGCCTTCAATTCATCTCTTCAATACGACATCATATTACATACACGTCCTCCATTCACAATGGCTGCGAATTGTGCGGCGCGGTATCGATTATGGCAAGTGTACAATTGGACACCATGGCAGAGGAGGGGTAGAGGTGTGTACATCTCGTCAGTACCGTATTTTCCACACTAAAAGGCGCATTGGATTATAAGGCGCACCTTCAATAAATGGCCTAATTTGGGTTTTTTTCCATACATTGGGCGCACCGTATTATAAGACGCAATCTACAATGCATCCACTAGATGGAGCTACGCTCAAGGACACACCAACAGAACGATCAGATGTCAGTAAAACTTATTTAATATGAATTTCGTGTCCAAAATGAAACAATTTGGGCAGTAGACGGGGGACAACCTGAACCGGTTGCCAGCCAATCGCAGGGCACACAGAGACGAACAACCTTCCACACTCACACTCACACCTAGGGACAATTTAGAGCGTTCAATCAGCCTGCCATGCATGATTTTGGAATGTGGGAGGAAACCGGAGTACCCGGAGAAAACCCACGCAGGCCCGGGGGAGAACATGCAAACTCCACACAGGAAGGCCGGAGCCACGATCAAACCCACAACCTTTGCACTGTGAGGTCAACGCGCTAACCACTGGCCCACCGGGCAACTCCAATAAAATTGTTGTTGTTGTTGTTATTATTATTATTATTATTATTAATAGTGTGTGTGTGTGTCCTTGGGAATGGCCAGCAACCAGCCTAGGTTGTACCTGCCTTCCGGCTGGGGTAGTCTCCGGTACTGTATACCCACGACCCTAATGAGGACATGTGCTTTATAAAATGATTGGCTGTATGTACATCTCGTTCCAACTGACATATTCAATTAGGTGGAGCTTCATGCATCATTATTACGACAAGAAAAATAAACCACCCCAAATCAAGGTGACGAGTGCTGGTACTATTCAGTGGGGAAAAAACAGCATTGCGTGAAACTTGATCAGACATCGCAGGGTGCTTGTTTGATCCTAATGCAAAATTGATATCATTCAATTATTTTGTACATGAACTTTTTAAAGTTTGACAGATTTTTTTGTTTTGTTTTGTTTGTTTTTTGTTTTTTTACTTACATCTGACAGAATTGACCGTAACAGTACTCAGCGGTGACTCTTGACTTGAGCTTTCGGTCTGCCTCCATTTTGCCCTCAAATCAACATCTGAACCCTAAAAAGTCCACGCATACAAAATGAAGTCGTGTGTCATAAAACCGGTTCCAGCTGGCTGTTGCCATGGCCACTTCCATGGAAGAAGCAGGGAGGGGAGGTGGGGTTGTATTGGAGGAAAAGTGAGTCACGTGAGAATGACTTTGAGGTCATGTGACTACTTTGGAAGTCGTGATTAATCCACAGGAAGTGATGATGGCACTAAGCCCCGAGGAAACACATACGCATACACAGAAAGAGGGTGGCTCAGGCAGAAAGGCCTCATCTTTTCACGCACCGACTTATGCTTCATAAAACTGCATTATCTGTGAATGTGTGTGTGTGTGTGTGTGTGTGTGTCTGTAGTCACAAGGCCATCCTTATTTTTAGAGGAAACCTAACACGTGTCCCGCCTGTCCGAAACAAAAATAAGCTTTCGATTGTACACCTCACATTTGGCATATTGTATCGCATTTGAATTATTCATGCGTTTTACACACAGAAGTCAGGCCAAAATCCACCTTTACCTTCATGCTATGTGACATTTTTGAGCTTTTAGAGATTATTATTAGAATCAGCTCTCGATATGTTGCAGTGCTCTCGGACACGACGGCAAGTTACAGGAGCAACATACAGTTGTGCCTCGAGATACAAGTGACCCGACTTAACCCAGTCCAGGCATGATCAATATCCACAATAACCTCTTTTTGTCCGACAGTATAAAAAGGGAGAGGCGGCCTCCATCCCCCGATGAGGAGGATGATGATGTCATCATCTTGTCGGATAACGACTCCCCGAGTCCACCTATGAATGGTCTGAACCACTTGAAGGAATTGGACACCGACCTCCTCATGGTGAGATATTGTGCTTTTCATACCGTCGATGTTTAAAAAAAAAAAAAAAAAAGCGGAGCTCTCAGCACAGTGGAAGTCACGTCAGACCCGACCGATCTTACTGCGCCGTCAAGGGTTTGCAGTCGTGACATGGATTCACCCGATGATCCAATCGAAAGGGATTCCAAATGAAAGAGATTCAACCCCATGAAGGATGCATGCCCGGGCACGATTATTTGTCTTCAGTTGTAGTACGATTGTTGGAAGTGATTGATTTCATGCGTTGGGTGCAGAAGAGCAGCCCGGGCGAACGGGAGCGCATCATCAAGCAGCTGAAAGAGGAGCTGAGGCTTGAGGAGGCCAAACTGGTGCTGCTGAAGAAACTCCGACAGAGCCAGTTACAGAGGGACACGCTTCAGAAGGTGAGCACGAGTCAGAATCACTTCCCACACATACACAAACACACATTCCTGTACAGTCATACAGTGAGCACCCATTCAACATGGGGGCAAATGTGTTCCGGACCCCCACCCCCCCGCTGGATGAAAATCTGCTCTATAGAGAGACCAGGTCTGTAGTACTCGACTCTGGACTCTACAGTTTTTTGTTTTGGTGTCGTACTTGACTCGGACTCCCTGGCATTTGACACAGACCTGACTCGGCTATTTGACTGGCCAAATATTTTTATTGACTCCACCCGATCCCTGAAAATGAACGTCCCATTTCAAAAGAAATGTTAAGTACAATTTTCCGGATGATTAAAAAAAGCGATCTGATTGGTTAACCTGACCGCGGTGGAATCGGGGACAGCAAACTTCGCCGCAGCGATGCGCTCGTGTTCATTCGTGAGCTTTGAGTTCGCCGGTCGCTTTTGTCGCCGCCTCTCACTGCTTGGTGCAGTTTGCTGCTCCTCGGTACCCGATTCCCCTCCTCGTCTTTCCCTCGATGTCGACCATCATTAATAAAGCAATGTTGTGATTGTTTTTTTGTTTGTTTGTTTTTTTAATCTGCAAACAGTTAATAAAGCAAAGGGCTCTATGCCCTCTAAGAAGAGTGTTGAGCAAAATGAAATGTCTCTCATTTTGTGGTTGTGAAAATTGTATTTTTCTGTCTTAAAAGGTTTACGCTTGATCTCATTTGAACCTCATACTTGACTTGGACTCAAAAAAGGTGGACGTGACTGCGGCCCCAAAGGCAGACCATATAAACAACTATTATATTTAAAGTAAACATTTTTTAAACTTATTACAACGCCATTTTAAATAATAATCATTTGCGCCTGTTCTCACTCTTGCCGTCAAGAAACGGGAGAAAGAGAAAGAAAGCAAAAAGACTCCCCTGACTCAGTTCCCCCGAACATGAGGCAAAGTGCGCTTGATTCAAGCTGTTTGTCTTTGTACTGTCAATGTACTGTGTAAATAATAATGAATAATTGCCATTCCTCAGGCATCGGGGGTGTCAAGCTCCTCCGCTCCACCTCCTCTAATACGCGGGACAATTGGAAGCAGCAAAAGCTCACAGCAGGTGAACTCAACACTTCAGAGTGTCACATGTCACGCGTAACATTGGCCGACTCCGTTTCTCACCGGCCACTTCTGTCTCGCTGACAGATTATATCTGGTCGAGGTTCAGGCACGGTCATACCTCCGCCTTTGGTGCGTGGAGGGCAGCAGGTGTCATCTAAACATGGCTCCCAGATCATCATGCCCCCTCTGGTCCGAGGACCACAGGTGAGTCGTCGGGAAATCGACGCTTAAGAATCTGCATGTTAATATACATCGACCAATCACAATTTGGGGAACCTAACGAGATCCATTACAAGCACTGTAGGGAAAAAAAATTCTGCCTGTCCAAGGATAATTATTTTCAGTTTTGATCGACACCGTAAGGGGTGGGGGGGGTCTTCATGTAACAATTTCAGGTCGGTGTGGTTTGCCGTGGTATAGAATTGCACAGCATTATACAGCGAGAGGTGCCTCATCCTTTAAAAAGTGGAGATTCACTCCCAAATCTTTATCTTCGACTCCAAATCTGTGCTGATCTCAAATACCAAAAGAGACGCAACACAGCGCCATCGACGGCGATCTGTACTTGAGAAATGTATACGCCGTGCCAGTGAACGGTTGGATTCCAGTCGGTGAATATAAACGTTCACGGCGGTGGATATAGGAGATCATAAACTGTTTTAGGGGGTGTTGATGTCCGATCTTGAGTTGGATCTCGGGGGATTGGGCAAGGGGTCATTGTGTCGTGGCCCTGGGACATTCTCGGTCAAGCTCCTTTCTCTCTCTTTCACCCTCTAACACTAACTCAGGAACTTTTAACATGGGGTTTTGCATCTCTCTCTCTCTCTCTCTCTCTCTCTCTCTCTCTCTCTCTCTGTCTCTCGCTCACTGCCTGTGCCCTTCGCATTGGCGCCGTGGATGCCAATGCCACTTCTTCTATGGCACCCCGTGTGTGTCGTCACCTCCCATTGTCCCGGTTAGCCCATCTCTGTATCTCCACAGCAGATCCAGGCTCTCCGCCAGCATCAGCAGCAACAGCAGCAGTTGGTCGCCTCGGGAGGTGGAGGCTCAGGGGGGCCGCCTCCCCTGCTGTTGGGCGCCCGGACCTCAGCCCCTGCTGGCCAGGGTCAGAGAAGCATGATGCAAGCGGGCCTCATCAGAGTCGGAAGTACTGCAAACTCACTGGTCAGTATCTCACGACTGAAACGTCGGTTTTCTCTTTCTTACACCAGCTTCCTCCCACATTCATGAAAGGTTCATTGAAGACTCTAAATTACCTAAAGATGGGAACGGCCGTTTGTCTATGTATGTGCCGAAGCAGTATAAGAACATGAAAGACAGGTGGACCCTTCACTTTATTTCGAATTTGTGTCTGACTTTGGTGCCCCATGTTCACAGGGCTCGCCCGGTTTGAAGGTTTCTACCTCAGGAAGCAGCGTCGTCTCTCTGGTGGGTGCCAACGACAGTCCGGCCAGCCGCCAAGCCGCGGCCAAGCTGGCTCTGCGGAAACAACTCGAGAAGACGCTCCTTGAGATCCCCCCTCCAAAGCCCCCTGCTCCCGAGTTTAACTTCCTGCCCTCGGCAGCCAATAATGAGTTCATCTACCTGGTAGGACTTGAAGAAGTGGTCCAGAACCTGCTGGATAGCATTCACAGAGGTATGTTTGTTCCGTTGTTATTATTGCTCTGTAATACTATTTTCAACTTGCGTGCGCAAACGTGACGCATGAGTACTGTATGATGGCAGGTGACTCAACTCACTTCACAGATATGTATAAATATTCTTCAAAAATGAGGCTTCGAGCTCGCCGTGCCATTCCCGGATATTTTTGAATCGTGTTATAAAGCGCAAGGGGGCAAATTCAGCTTTTATCTCAAGGCGTCACTGTACTTCAGAGTTCAATCTGAAATGAAACTGAACAAAAACAATTTGGGGTGTGTCGTGCCTTTTTTTTAATATATACATCAATAAATCTTATGGTCAAGTTGCACACGCTTGCCTATTCTACAACAAGTGTTCTCAAACTTTTGGGGGTTTCCCCTCTGTCCTGACAGGAAAGACGGGGTCAGCTCCGCCCAAGCCCACCATCAGAGACCCCAACATGTGCACCCAGTGCAACACCGACTTCACGTGTAGGTGGAGGCAGGACAAGGCCAAAGGCGGCACTGTCCTTTGCGAAGACTGCATGTCCTCCAATCAGAAGAAGGCCTTGAAAGCCGAGCACACCAATAGGCTGAAAGCCGCGTTCGTCAAAGCGCTGCAGCAAGAGCAGGAAATCGAGCAGCGGATCATTCAGCAATCATCGTCGTCCATCTCTCACGGTAGCTCGTCGTCCTCTTCGTCGCTGAAGGCCGAGCAGCTGGTCTCTCAGCAACTGAAGCAGGCCCGAGCGTCCTCCCTGCACCGAGGGGCCAACGTCATCCACCATCACTCCATCAAGGTCAGCGGTGGTGGGAAGCACAAATGCGTCCAAAGTGTACTTAAGTCGATTTCTCTGCCGGATTTATTTTTCTGACGACTTTTCACTTTGATTCCCTACATCCAAAAATGGATATCTGGCTATTCTGCAGATGACGACCCGTTGCAAAAAAAAACCTGACTAGCCGGAGAGAGGTGAAGTCAGCCGCGTGGGGATTTTGATTGATTGAGTTCTAATGAGGTGGAAAAAACTGGGACGGCAGTGACAAGGTGGAACGTGAAGCAGGGAGGACGGACAACAGTGGCAACAGATTCGTAGAAGCAAAATATTCCACCTTCATGGCTTTAGTTAAGAGAACTGTTTGATGTTGTCAGCGTCAAAAAACGTGACAGGGCTCAAAATCTTGAGTGTCTGGCGGTCAAAAATGATCAATTTAATCAGAAAAATTACATCTAAGTAAATCTTAAAAAAAAATAGCTTATTGGCTAATTTGTTTTTTTTTTTGTTACTCCATTCACAAGGTTAGCAAAGCTATGGGAACAAGTTGGTTTGATAGCATCGGTCAAGCCAACGCTAACTAGCGCTGAAACAAGTTTGAGCACTGTTTTAAAATGATAGGAAAAAAATTGGTGTGTAGCAGTTTTTTTTTGGTTAATTTTTTTTGCCGTGCCAATTTATCAAAACCAGTACTGTCTTGTACAGTATGTTTCTCTGCATTCAAATCTTGTTTTCTCATAGCATTTATGGTTTCCGTGACGGGCTGAAAGGCGTACCGTCGAATAGGTTTCTCATCCTTACCGTGAATTGCCACGGCAAATGTTTTGACAATTTAAACATCTCGCCAGGCATCCACGGCAATCACGGCCATGTCGCATATTGTTGTCGTCTCGCGATCGTCTCATTTTGTGACTACAGTCGTGTCATTGACTTTAAATATTTACGACAGACTCTGCAACGTACTTAAGTACAGGAGTTGAAGCAGAACTTGTTAAGTCGCGTGTCTTCTCTCCACCCCGAAGGGCTCCCCGGGCCAGCTATCCCACAGCGGCATCAGGAGTGTCCCCCACTCCTTCTCCTCCTCCTCCCAGCTGCAGAGCGCAGTGGCGGCGGCCGCCTTGGTCAATCGACCAGGTAAGCACGAGCATGTGACCCAGCGCTCTGTCCAGATTTCAAAGGTGAGCAGCAGCGGAGTGGGCGGCAGCAGGAATATGAGCGGAGGTAGTGCCTCATCCACTGCATGGAAGAAGCAGAGCAACAGCAACAAAGGTAGACTCGCATTCATAAGCAGCCCGACCTCTGCTCTCTTTCAAACTCCTGTCGGGCCCAAAGCAACCCTCTGACGACAATTGCTGTCCCCTTCGCTTGGTGATCCAATGCTTCTCCAGGGTTCCCGTCTCCTTTGTTCCCGTTTTGTCTGTTGTTGGGGTATAAGGTGGCAATGTCCACATGAACACGAGTGTTTTTGAATGGCATGTCAACGTCATTTTAGGATATAAATATAAAACTTTGAAATTACCAAAGTCATGCACTATGTTGCAAATTATTTTACAAATTATGTTTTTCTCAGGTTTTTTTTATAAATAGTTGATGCAAATGACACTCAGCATAATTTTCAATTCATTAACTCTTGGAGATTAATATGAAGATTTTTAAAGGGGAAGTCAACTCAAAAATTGTCTTGACAATAATATGTTCTATGCGACTGTCATTTTCAGGCAACAGCGAGTGGCAAAATGGCTTCTTATTAGCTTCAAAAAGGTAGCTTGTTCAGTAAAGTACAAGCACTTATTGAAATCTTGATATATTTTTGTTTATTTGTTGAAACCACAGTAAACTGTCAAACCGGTAACCGCCCATTCCTAATATCCATCCATTCATTTTTTTTTGAACCACTTATCCTCACACTAGTGCTTATTTTTCAATAATAAAATACATTTCAAGTTAGCACAAGCTTTTGAGCAGAAGTGTAATTATTTGTGATTAGACTTCAACATTTTTTGGGACCGGAAAAGAAATGAATGACTCCCTGTTCAAATAACACTTCACTATCAGTCAAGAAATGACCCGTCAAATGAATAAATACTCTTGTACGTGTGGACAGAGTCTCAAAGTAAAACAGTTTTTGCCTTTGTCGGTCTGGCGAAATGTTCAACATGTGCCCTGCTCTGACATGCGCTCTTGACCCCCAATAGGTGTGACAATGGCGTACGTGAACCCCAGCCTGAGCGGACACAAAACCTCGGCCAGCGTAGACGCACGCCAGAGGGAGTACCTGCTGGACATGATACCCTCTCGCTCGTCTATCTCGCAGACTGCAAACACGTGGAAATAGAGAAAGAATACAAATAAGTCAACCGCTCAGCCAGCTCGACCCAATCTTTGCTTTTCCCAATGTCATGGTCAACAGCGCACCCAGGAGGACAGTTTGGCAAATACAATCTCTTGAACAGTGAAGAAACCTTCCTATCTTTTTTTGTTTTGTTTTGTTTTGATTTTCTCCTTTACTGTTCATTTAAAGGTTTTGGTGTGCCTCACATCGTTTGATTTGACTGGGGCAGACAAACAACAACAACAACAAAAAAATACATGAAACTTGGTATTTTGTTCTCCCTGTCTGGGTCGTCAGGTAATGATTTAGTTTTGCATCAAAATGAGTCACGTGAGTGACTTGAATGCTTGGTTGGAGTCATGCGCACCCAATAAAAATACACATTGCTTCAAGCAAATTACACCGGATTAAAGATGTAAATGTTTCATTGCATTCATCCCTGTAGTTGAACAGTTGAATTTATTTTGTATTTACATTAAGTTATATTTGTTGTTCTTTTTTGGGGCGAGGACTGTTGGTATTTTTTTTTTTTTTTTTACTTTCTATATTGTGGTTTCCACAAATGAAGAGTTGCTTTCTGCTTCTGTTTCTTTCTGTTTAATAGCATGCCTACATTTAACACCTAATGTTCATTTTGCACCTTAGCTAACAACGTGTGGTGTTGTCGCTCAAGCCATCTGTAATTACCATCTGTAATTTGCTTATTTTATATTTATGTCAACGTTGGCATTTCAATTTGGGTGTCACATCTTCACTGACAAAATGCAAACCCAGAGGAGCTGAATTTGTCGATCCTAAAACCAGAGACCATGATCCATAAATTAAAATTGGAAGACACTATATCCAACTGTGAACCCAGCAAGCACAAGCCAATTATTATTTTTAATCCTATAACTTCTCACCACATTGCATATTTTGTCTGCTACTCAGCCGAAAATTCAAAAACGCCCTCCCCGTAGGAATGAATGGGATTTTCATGGAGTGTGTCATTTTTCGAAGTGGAACCGTGAAGAAGCCCCCCCAGAACCATGGTCGTAGCACATTTTGGGTCATTTGCACGCAAATTGTGTTCGTTCAGCCACTGCTCGATCTGCACTCTGCAGCCAGGCCTTACCTGATGGGAGGGATCGTGCAATAAGATTCTAAAAAAAATGCTTTATATTGCGGTTGTTCACCGACCATAAACTGGTTGAGTGTACATCCTTACGGTCATCATTCCTCAAATAGTGGCCTGGAGTCGATTAGATTGATTCAATAATCACATGACCTCATCTCAAATAGACACCTCATTTGCACTCCCGGGTAGCGGAAGAACAGGTTGTGCCACTCGATGTAATTCTAGCCACCAACTCACTTGCGAGTCAATAGCGTGCATGCCAAGAGAAAAACTGACTTCATGAAAGAAGGCAAAACCACTTGATACAAACAACAGATAATGTTCAACATGGTTTGTTGAGGACAGTGTGACGATGATGAAAGTTGGTTTCAATAAATGAAGAAAAATCCATTCATTTTATTTGTTGAATTATTAAAAAGAACAAAACAACTGAAATAGAAATTTACCTTCATGTGGTTGCCCAATGCTTCTCCCTCACGCCGCGCCGCATCATTGAAAGGAAACCAGAATAGAACAATAAAAATTGCCAATGCCAGTTTAACAGGATCCCGTTCCCATTTTTAACACCAAACTGACAATTCTGTTCTAAGTATTAAGGCCTTCTTTCAAATGCCTTGCATCAAATACAAGTGTGGTATTTGAAAGAAATATGACGTGGTTTGTATGTCCCATTTTGATCTGTTTTAACTGTTCTCATTCTCTTGTCAGGAACTTGCGGATGTTGAGGGAAAATTTAGAAGAGGAGGCGATTCTCATGAAGGATGTTCCCGGGTGGAAGGTAAAAACCCAACAAAAAAAAAAAAAG